GGTTCTTATGTGATTCCCTCCACGCGCAGTTTGTTTGTGAGTTTCAAACTGCGGCTCTGTGCGGGTAGGGGAGGCAAAATGTAAATGGAGCCCGCTCGATGGCACACTGGATGAGGTCATGAAACTTCTTGAAGGGATGTTTTGATACAGGGTGTTTTGTGCTCAGCATCCCAGCAGGTTTACGCCTGTGGGTAGGCTGCCATAGTGCCTGGTCGCTATAAGAATAGTCAAGTGTTTTGGGCAGCCATGTAGAGATTCAAACTTAAAAGAGGAGTGCCAGTGTTTGTTCTCTATCATCATTGATTGAGCTCATAACTCATTTTAAAAACAGTTATGGATAACATTGTTTTCGCTATGACGCCATTATGCATTCAATATGTTCTGTTTATTTAGAGTTTACGTATCTGGGTTTACTTTTACCCGCTGCAAAGGCAGTTCAACAGCGGAAAGCAGATGCTTGAAGCTGAGCAGGATGGTTTCTATTCAACTAGCAACCCTGGACAGATTTGAAAGTAAATTATTCGCTGCCGTATGAATAGTAATATTGAAACACCTCATCTGCCTCTTCAAGTTTAGTCTCTTTTAGAACTGAAAAGCTTTAAAACTGGCTTTCAAGCAGCCAACTTACATTTCATTACTCAAAGCGTAATAATTCAGTCAAAATCTTTATCCTACCTCTCCAGGTCATATTTTTCAGCTTGTTAGTGGCAGGTCCGCGCAATGTCCCTAGTCTCACGAACTAGCAGGGATCAGAGATCAGAGATCTCAGCAGCTACCAATCGCCTGTGGATTTCTTTCTGAAGTAACTGCTTGTATGGCGGCGAAAACGGCTACCAACAAACCAAAGCCCCTTACTTCTACCTTACCTGACACAATGCTCTGTTCCCTATTCACCTCCGCAGTAAAACAAACTGGAGATATAGCGAATNNAGTAAAACAAACTGGAGATATAGCGAATCACTTTGTAACATGAAGAGAGCTTTTTAAAACATTAAAAATGGATGTCCCAAGCAATGTCATATGGTACAACATGTCACAGCCCTAAAGACTTTATATTGGTTCTGCAGAGTCTTTTTGTTTCAATCCAGTTTTATCACAGAAGGCTGAGAGAAAGTCGTCAGTCTCTACTGGCCAAAGTGTTTAGAGACTGGCTGTGTGTCTACTCCCTGGCTGGAATCTATGGGTCTTAAAATTGCAACTACTAAGTTGTCAGCAATTACACTTCAACTGCCTCCAGTGCATTAAACCCTTTCATTCATGTAACTCATGTAATATAATGTAATACAAACAATTAACATTTTAAAGCTTGTCTTCTGAAAATAAAGCTTTTCCATTCCAATCTATTTACCAGTGCAAAGAGGGCAACACAATTCTCCAAATAAAGGTGGGAGAGCTGAGCTTTAGTGGTTTTATTTTTAACAACATCCCTGCCATACATATAGGTAGATTATTCCAAATAGTATCTCAGTCTGGAACAATGAAAGTTGCTCAGCCAGCTGCTGTGCTGCTTTGTGCAGTCTTTACCCTACATGCAATAGCAGAACAGCACTGATAACCTCAAAGGAAGACAGACTATGGCTGGGGCAGTTTGATATGTACTCTGGACCGATTAGATAAGTGCTGCAAAATGGGGTAAAGTCACAGACCTGCTGTTCTGGGAGGCATTTAGTCACAGCAGTCATGTTATTGGACACCAGCGACAGTGGTTTGTGATACATGTGGTATGACTGTATGACTGTAGGCCTTGTGGACAGGGTTTTTCTTGACATGTGACTGAAGTATGACACATGAACTACTGTTAAACCTGCATGAACAATGGTTACTCCCACACGAAGTATGAAGATTGTATTGATGAGTGTCTGTTGTTAGGAGACTGTGCTTTGTAAGATCACAGCAGGTTAGTGGAACAGGGCCTTACCTTGTCCAACAGTGTGTTTTGCCACATGCGAAAAACACTCAGGTAACTTTTCTCTCTTGCTGAGAAGGAAGTGAAGAAGAACTGAGGAGGAAGATATAAGGAGAGTAATTGATTATGTGTTTAGCAAATGTGGAATAAACTCTGCTCTCTTCCAACACAGCGTACCTTCTCCGTGCTCGTGCAGACCTGGATGGCATTGGGAATCAGCCGAGCTGTTTTCTCTCTGGTCATAGTTGTGATTTCTTTAAGAGTCAGTATAATCTATAAAGAAAGGTGAAAGGTTGCAGTTGTTCGTAGTGCGTACGTGCTTATCAAAGAATGCTATAAAGAAAAAAAAAATCCACCCTTGATCCTCCTCCACTCAGGAGTTATTTTGTGATGACATCTAATAATGAGTTTTAGCAACACCCAAGAAGAGTCGTAAACTTACTGCTCAGAGCACTGAGTTAATCAGACATGGTTGTATTAGCATGTGGTCCACTGAGGCTGCCGCTAGTGCAGCAATTAGTGTTCATCTTCCTTATTATTTTTCCTTGTTGTATCTTGGCTGTTGTTCTCCACAATTGTTGCAATTTATTGCAAAACAAGAAATTATTGCAATTAAATTATTGTAATTTATTGCAGAACCCAATCAGATTTTTGTGGTTCATATTTTGTATTGTTGAAAATATTTCTTTTTCAAAAATTACATTTCTCTATATGTTGTTTGTGGGAATATAACAAAATGTACAGCAGCAAATCAACAAAAGGAGGTCAGAAATGCAGTTTTTTTTTACTATAACTGTTTTAATGTAGTTTTAGGATGACTTTTTCTTTTAAAATACTGCACTCTCTGTTAGACACTTATATTTTTTGTCTCTCACTATTAACAGTGTGACCACAAATGTACCTTAATGTATCTGACCCTGTTATTCCTTTGTGAAACAGCAATATAGTACAAGGAACAATCTTGCTGTAACAATCTCTGCTATATTCTGTTGCTTTGACTGCACACCCTCCTCTTCCCCTCTGCCCTCCTCCACTTTCCTATTACCTTCGTACCCCGAAACACATTGCTGTAGAAACAGAGCCAGTTCTCTGACAGGAAGAGACGTCCCTGAAGGAGGATGTCCCGCTGGAGGGCACACGGGTAGTCTGAAGGAAAACCATCCATACAAATGAGTGTGCCTGAGGTGTTCTTTGACACACTATATGTTTAAAACAGGTCACTGTAGTGAGATGTTGTTAGCCATAATGTTCTTTTAGTTCATTTTAGATACAGACAATATGTTACCACTTATAATTCAGTTTAATCATCAATATAAACTCACTGATTCTAGTCAGTCTTATGGTTTCGACAGAGACTAGTTGTGTCATGCTGAGTTACAGGATTATATGTCTAAACATGATCATTTTTCATTTAATGCTTGAAAAAACAGTGTATAAACAGTCTTAATTAGAATATTTTACTGTGTAAATTTACTATATCTGCAATGAAACACTAAAAGATACAGGTACACAGATTTTGACACACAGTGTGGGGAAAGTCATTTAAACCTTATACTCTCTATAAATATATTTAAGGGGAAATTAAGGATACTTATTGGGAACATCAAAGTTCACCATGATTAAAATATTGGCCAGTGATGTCATATCATTGATCGTGTGAGACCAAAACTGCTTATACGTTTGTTGTATACTTTAATATTTGTGTTCCTAGATTTCTGAGTATGCCATGTTAGGGAGCTGCTCAGTCTATAAGGATACCTTTAATATAGTTTCACTTGTGTAATTTGTTCATCTAAATACTTTTTCAGAGGCATTTCCACTTTGTTAAGAACAAAATTTAAGATAAAACAAAGACTATTTTATATTCTTATAAAAATGAAATTGGTCAAACATTGAAATGATAAAACAAACATCTGGATCATCGGGACAATCATTACTATGAGGAGCACTCGTCGTAACTCACCTATTATGAGTCTCTCTGACTCTGGCAGTTCTTTGAATAACTTCTTAAATTCATCAAACCTCTGTTTGTATGTTGGCAGAGGAGTTTGAGGGGCTGCCAGACACTGTCCCTGGGGGTCAGAGCTCTGATGGAGGAGATATGAACATTACTGATACAGTATATATGTACAGTGATTATTCTTTTTGCAAGAAAGAATAAATGATGTTATAGCAGAACTGCATGCCTTGTGTGAATTATGTTTAGGATCTATTAGTCATATCCAAGCAGCAGTAGCTTTATGTTAATAGAGACAGCTTAGTGCTTTTACCTCGTCTTCATCAGAGCTCCACCTGACATCCACCATGGATGTTGACTCATCTGTAATATCATCGCTGCCCACTCCTGACCGGTTGGATAGCTGGTCCATCTGCTCTGCTGCAGGGCTTAAATAAAGAGATATGCTCCTTAAACCCTGATGCAGATTGACATTATACTCATTTTAATCCCTCCAGCTGCCATAAGGAGAGACTAGAAGGGGGAAAAGCTTGTGGGTCTTTTGAGAGTTGAACTTTAAGAACATGATCTGAACTTCGGCAATGAATGTCATCAAACAGGGATAGCCAGGAGCGCCACAGGGGAAGTCATTATCACTGCAACAGAACTGGTTTGACTAGGAGAGCTGTGCTAGAAGTGTAGTCATGCCAATGAACAGAAACCTTTAAGATTGTCTTTCTTTTGTTAAGTGTAAAAGTGTAGTTAAAAGAACGGATTTGTGTCATAAAGTTAGAAACATTTACAGAAATTAAAAAACAAAAATGCGCATAATGACAGCGACCGAATGAATGCCACCACTCACGTCAAATTCTTGGTGTTAGATTGTGTTAGTCGATACGAACTATCAGTCGACATGGATGTTAAGTTATGTCAAACAAACTCAAGCTCAAAAAAGGTTTCCATCGGATTTGTAAAACCTTCAAACGTGTGTTTAAATACTTTTACGCAAGGCGTCATGAGCACACAGTCGTGCTGCGCCTTTAGCATGTCTCCACATGCGGGTTATCTGAGACAAGATTGTTGTTCAGTCACTTACCTTTTACGTAGTGGACCCAGGATCTCTGTTCTATCTGAACTCCAACTGCAAGCGACTTAATTAAACCAAGTACACACCAGTTTGTCCCACACAGCTGAAGCTCTGCTGAGCAGTGGAACCTTGTTGCGCCTTGCTGCAGGTGCATCTCATCTGGCCTGGGGGAAATACCTTAAGGGAGTTGTCATCTCATTGGTGACGCTCATTGGTCTTCACAGAACTACTTAAGGGCTCCAAGATGACCTCTCCCTTCATTTATTATTCATTTCCAGTTAAAGTTATAGTCATGTACTTCCAAGTAATCAGAGTAAAGTATTGCACTGTGTTGTGTTTTCTTTCATGGAGATTTAGTTGATTTCTATGCACAAAGCATCCAAAGAGGCACGGTGATGGAGAGTATGTGCGATATGCAGAGAGACCAGTTCTGCAGCTCTGATGCATAATTGCCAGAAACCATGAGGTCAGACAAACACACACACACACATTAATCTTTTTCCTCATGTTTTAATTCTTTGGGAGTAACATGATGAAAGTATTGGACAGCAGAGCGTCGGAGTCCGACTCTTACACATTCACACAGCAAAGTACACGACACTGCACAGCGTGAAACACAACCATAAAAACAAAAAGGAAAGAACAAAGCCTCCACGTCAAAAATGCTGGCAATAAATAGACTGATCTTATTAAATTTATATTCAATACTCTTCTGTACAGATGGTTTTTGAATTACAATACATCAACCGAACAATCCTCTTCAGGAAGAGCAACATGGTTACACACAGAAATCATGTAAACAGAGAAAGGAAGAAACGGGGTGAAGAGATTCCTCTTTCATACACACATTAAATCCACACACGCATGCACGATCAGCGACCATGCAGAGGATCCAGAGTACGCCGATATGAGGCAACAAATAATAATGAATACAGTACATCTTTCTCTTTTCCCTCCACATGAAAATGTGCACACGCACACACACACCCACACTCACACAAACACACACACACTCATACAATCACTCACAAAAAAGGAGCACAGGGGAGCACGTAGGTTTTTCAGGAACATGAGGAGGTGGAATGTGATTCTTCAGTGGAGGGCTCAGAGATGAAATCCATAAAGGGCTCGAGAGGCAGGAGCCTATTCTTCCAACGTACGGAAGGCGTTCTGCATGTCCTCCACTAGCTGAGCGTACTCGGCCTTGATCTTAGCCTCGCCGTCTTTCACTGGATCCTGCACGGACAAAGAAACACAGTCTTAAACATGTGAACAGAAAACAGGAGGGCTGAGCAGACTCTGTGGATGGTCTGTGGGGCTTTGGCCGACATCCTCACTGTATTACAGATGTTTTTTCCCAGAGTTAGGATGGAGTTGGGCAAACTACAAGTTCAAGTACAGACCTGAAACCATCAGAGCTGATTACTTTTGGTGCTGGATCTGGACAACAGCACTGTTGGTCAATGCTTCTAAACTTGCTTTGGAAACTCATACCCAATTATTCATCTCTGAGATATGTTGAGGAATTAATTAAAAATACATATAAATGTTACCAAATTTTTTTTTGCTCTTTTATGAATTTTAAAATCAACCTAAAGAACCACCAAAGTAACATATAAAGCAGAAGAGACATATACAAGCTTTAGCACACACAGATACACACATACCTTGAATTTCATTGAGCTGAGCCTGTAGAGGATTTCTCCCATGTGCTCCTTGATCATGGCCCAAGTGATCTTGTTGTCGCTCTGAGCTGTGGTCTCCACTGCGTGTCGTGCCATGTCGTAGAAAGAAATCGTGTTGGAGAGAATGCCCACCGTCTTATAGAAGGGACAGAACCTGAGGAGCAAAGTCAGATAGTTTATCACTCATCAGTAGATTAGATCAGAAAATTCTTTTTCATTTTTCCGGTTTACATACAGAGAAAATGTCCATCTTCACTTTATCTCCAAGTTGTCTAGCATCTATCTGAACTCTGGTCAGTGACTGAGTGTGACTAAAAGAGAGCCCACGGGGTGTGTGACGTTACCTGTCATAAGGAGTGTAACCGTTCTGCTGCAGGAAGTCGTCTTTGAGCAGTTTGGCCACTTCAAGAGTGATTTTATCCGTTTCTGCCAGTGATGCCTGTTAAAAGAATTTAAATATACTTAAACTGGAAAAAATGCATTGGAGCAATTACTTTAAAGGGTACATACAGGGGAAAGCAGAAATCAGATCAAAAGTTCATCGAAAGATCAAACCACTGCCGCCGACTTAAATTACCTTTCCGACAAGCTGCACAATCTCAGCCAGGTCCTCCTCCTCCTGCAGGATCTCCTTGGCCTTGGTACGCAGGGGCACAAACTCGGGGAAGTGCTTGTCGTAATACTCATCCAGAGCACGGGTGTATTTGCTGTAGCTGATCAGCCAGTTCACAGAGGGGAAGTGCTTCCTCTGAGCCAGCTTCTTATCCAGACCCCAGAACACCTGAAAGAGGAAATATTAATAACATAATAAAGTGAAGAACTGAGCACCTTTAGTTAACAAAGCTTAATGACACAACTTAATGATTTACCTGTACAATACCAAGGGTGGCTGAAGTGACAGGGTCAGAGAAGTCACCACCAGGAGGCGATACACTGAGGAAAGAACAAGCTGTTTAACTGCTATATTCCTTTTACAGTCCATACGAGATGTGCAGGGTAATGTCTCCCTCTAGTGGACAAAATAAAGCTGTACTCACGCTCCTACGATACTGACGCTGCCCTCCCTCTCAGGGTTGCCCAGACACTTCACCCTTCCAGCACGCTCGTAGAAAGAGGCGAGACGGGCACCCAGGTAGGCAGGATAGCCACTGTCTGTGGGCAGATACAGAAAACACACAGATAGACTTTATGCTTCCTACCAGGTTACCATGATCACACAAAAGAGGTGAGAGAATTGTACCACTGTACTGGATTTCAATTCCCTTATTAATTTCTGCAAAAAAGTAGGCTTACACAGATTTTCAGCATCAATGCATCTGTTTAATTATCTGAGTCTGAACTCAGTGTAGAAGTAGAAAAAACAGCATACCTAACATTTGTACAGCAATCATTTTCATTTTTAAGTTTTCTTAGTCAAAGAAAGAAAATCTACTAAGCCTGCCAGCGTTAATGTGCTAATGTAATTATAGCATACGATATTTATCCTCTGTAACGGACGTGCTGCTCGGTTGGCAGGCAGTGTCTGACGTAGTGTCAAACACATGGCTCGCCTGGAATTTAAGCCGATATTGCATAGAAAGATGTTTCCACTCATTCCACAATACATCTTTCTTCGTGTAATGAAGCCATGCTTTGGAGTTTTTTAATTCTTTTGACTTTCATTGCCTTTAATTAATAGAAATGGCTGAAGATTGACAGGAAACCCAAAAAATATTCAGTTCACCGTCAAAGAAGACTAAGAAAACCTTAAAATGTTAGTCACATTACAGAATCTGGAACCATTTCATTTTTGGCATTTTTGCTTTAAAAACAATCAATCAGTTATCATTTAATTTAAAATTTAGTCAATCAACTAATTAATTAATCGTCTTATTGTTTCCGTAGTTGAAAGAACAGATTGTACAACTTTGTGCCATTTGAGGGTTTAGCTGAACCTTTTGTAAATCAGCATAAAATACTTCAAAGTCAAAGGCAGAAAAGAAAGCAGTTTGTTGTTTGCGCAAGCAGAGGATTGTGTTAGTTTTGTGAAATTCAGATTCCATCCTACTTCCTTTTATAAAGTAGATACTGATCACTACAAAAGACCTAATTTATAGAGAAGGATTTGCTTATTTCCTGTAAATTCAGAGTCTGATGCCCGACCTGAATGAGCAAACACTGAAAAATGGCTGTTTTTCACTTAATGTCAGAAATACTGAAGCCTGAATCTGCCTTCAGCTTCAGCTCTTATAATAATCTCCAGGAGACTCCAAACTTACCAGCAGGCATCTCAGCCAGACGGCCAGAAATCTCCCTGAGAGCCTCGGCCCAACGGGAGGTGGAGTCGGCCATCATGCTCACGTTGTATCCCATGTCTCTGAAGTACTCAGACAGCGTGATTCCTGTCAAAACAAACTCAGTTAGTATATATCAAAGGAGAAAGTGAAGAGTATTTCCGGCGTATTATTGACAGATACCTGTGTAGATGGAGGCTTCTCTGGCAGCTACAGGCATGTTGGAGGTGTTGGCCACCAGTGCCGTTCTCTTCATGATGCTCTCCGTCTTCCCGTCAACCTCCATGGTCAGCTGTTGGCCAGACGACACTGTCAGAACACCCATCAAAGCCACTCTAGTTGGGAAACAACGGTGGCACTCTCGCTACTCACCTCAGGGAAGTCTCGCAGTACTTCTGACATCTCGTTACCACGCTCCCCGCAGCCTACGTAGACGATGACGTCACTGTTGGAGTACTTGGACAGGGACTGAGAGATGACAGTCTTTCCACAGCCAAAGGCTCCGGGGATGGCTGTGGTTCCACCCTGCACACACCTTCACACGAAGAAGAGAGGAGAGTCAAAAAGAAACTCTCCGTACAGGAAAAAAAAAATTCAACATGTCTTAAGGATGTGAGACTCACGGGAAAAGGGCGTCCAGCACCCTCTGTCCGGTCAGCAGCGGGTGATTGGCGGGCAGCTTCTCTGTTACGGGCCGCACTTGTCTGACGGGCCACACCTGCACCATGGTGAACTTCTCCTTCACCCCTTCAAACTCCAGCTCCATCACCACATCCTGACAAAGACACACACACACACAC